AGTATAGTATCTCTTTTTCCATCCCTTTAGATTTAACCTGGGGTCAGAACAGAAAAGAATTTTGCTGTAGTGTTAAAGAGGTTGATGTACAATGATAGTAAATGGCTTATACAAGGTAATGTGAACATTTGATAGTTTTATCTATTGAGTTTAAAAAATTGTGAATATTATTACAATTCCTCAGAATTTACAGCTGAACTTCTTCTTAGAAGCAAGGTTGCCATTTTTTATTTCTGCCTCTAAAATGTGCACATACAAGCAAAGAATGTCCAGCCATTTGTGTTTATAACTTGGTAATGCTTTCCAGATGTTCATTTTATACCAGGGACTCTGCTATTATTTTTGAAGATAGTCATATTTTGGTGTTTTGATCTTGATAAATTACAATATTTAAAGTCTTCAAAAATGTTTAAGTAACACATAAATACTTTGAAAGCATAATTAGTATAAATGCTTGTAAGAACTAGATAAAAAGTGCCCTGGGGTAGGGGCAATACTGAGATCAGAGCTCTAGGTATTGGCGAATTTTTGGATGCTTCTTGAAGACCTGAAATGAATGTTTCAAGAGCCCTTTTATAAAAGAAGCACCAGTTTTAGGATATACAAACCTAATTACCTAAGAGAATAAATTTAAAATTTCTATCATTGAACTATGAAATACTATTTTCTGTATGTATTCAATAAGTACTTTTCAAGGAGGAATAGAAAATGGGAATCAAAACCACATAAATGATATTTACTACATCCAGAATGGATTCTTAAGTCCATATGTACCATCATTGACCTCTCATTATGTGCTAGGTCATGTGCTGAGTGTTTTCTATATAGCCTTTCACTTAGGCCTTGTAATGGTCTGGCATTTATGAAATTTAAAACTTAGAGAATTTAGTTGGCACTTCAAAGTCCGTCTTGGGCCCTTTTCTTTTCCACTACAGGCATTCTTCCAGGAGAATTCTCTACTGGGACCCCAATTACTATATGTTGATATATCCCAAGCCTGCATCTCAAGTCCCTACCCCTTCCTCTGCTTTTCTAGAGCCATGTGATCCTTTACCCACAAGAGGCTTCTGCTCAGTCCACAGGCTCCTCTAATATCAACATGGCCAGAAGGTCATTCTTTAATTTGCCCCCTGCCTTTTGCCCAGTGTATTCTCTTTCAATGAATGGAGATAACACCATCCATCTGTCACTCCATTTAGAAAGCAAGTACCACTTTTGATTTATTCCTCCTGTGACCCATTGTCTCTGACTAATCATTAATTTGTGTTGACTCTTTCCTAATCGATTAAAAATTGATCACTTCACTGTGTTTTCACTATCAGCACCCTGGATATTTTCCTGGCATTCTGCAATGTTCTCTTCCCAGTTCTACTTACGGCATGCCTCTGCACTCCATCACTTACTACAACCCCACAAAGCCCCACAAAGCCCTCTTGGAGTAAATTCAAAGTTCTTTACCATGATTGGTATAGCTTCTTATGATGTTGCCTCTCTGTATCTAACTATTCTGACTTTTCATTCCTTCCAAAGTCATATACTCTTTGACCAAGTATACTGGTTTTTCTTTTCAATTTCTGAGCCATATCCTTTCTTGCTTTCTTGATTTATTTTTTATTTTTTTGCATTTCTTCTGCCTGGAATATCCTTTCACTTTAAAGATCTTCCTTCACTAACCCTTATTTTTCATTTGTATCTCAACAGAAATGTCACTTCTTCTGAGAAAACTTCCCTATGCCCTTATATCTGAGGAGATTACAAAATGTTCTCATATCACCCTACAGCCACTAGGATTGTCTTTATCATACTATGCCTGCTATTCATTTGCTGTTTTCCCCATCACAATGATAAGATCTCTAACTGTGTGTCTACTGCATTCTTAGCACAAAACAGTGTTTGGCACGTAGTAGGATCTTGATGAATATTTGATGAAGGAATGGATGAAGGCGTTCTACTAGTAAATGGCAAATTCATGTCTAATCCTCAAGATTTGCTTTCCTTTAAGACAGTGTTCTAGCAACTGCCTTCTAATGCCTCCATCCCAGAAAATTAATGGAATTGGGACTATAAGGCCAGAATAATTCAAAAAGAAAACATAGAGGGGCCAACTATGCTCGGGACAAACTCAGACAAAGCATGCAGTTCTAAAAGTAAAATGTTGAAAAACCTGTGCCATTACTGATAAGTTAAGATTTATCACCACAGGAAGTCAGAACTCATAAAACTCAACTCCTCTGTGAACCACACTTGTACAAACCTAGGTTTTACTGTGTTGTTCCATTTCAAAAGCAATATCCACAGGAAAACTGAAGTTGAAATAAAATATTTTAATAAAAATTATAATTGTTTTATTAATACAGACTCATACTACAAGGAGTTTTCCTCTCACTTTCTGCTGAAAAAAAATGTAATACTTTTGTTTACCATTAAGTACTAGTCTAAGATTGTTCAAAAGTAACTCTTTGCAATTTCTTGTTTTAAAATGTGGCAGCCTGAAGGGAAGACTTTCAGGAGTCCTGCATGTGGTAAAAACAGGCTTTTAAAGCGTACTTTCTATCCTACAAACCAAGGCTGTAATTCAATGCCTCCCTTTTCTTTTTATATATTTTTTTCCAGTAAGAGGTTTTTTTTTTTTTCTTTTTCAATCAGAGAACTTGCTATTCAATGCTTTGACTTGATGATTTGTGCCTTACTTAAAGTCACTTACCTATTCCAGTCATAAAGCAGGCTTACAGAGGCCAGACTCATGTCCAGGATGCACAGACATCCAGAGCTCTGCTGTGTCCTTGTGCAGTCATCTGAGAATATTACATGTTCACCAAAGAAAACATACTCCAACATCAATAAGTAGGTATTACATTAATACACACCACAGGGGTGGAGCCGAAAATAGTGTATTGATTTCTGTTTTTTTTTCTTCTGTTTTTAAAAAATAGTAGATGGACAATCCTTTAAGAAAGGTACATGTTCTTTGACATGTACCTACATCTAGTTTATACCCAATTCTCCAACCTGGCAAGGTTTTTCATTAAAGTAAGCAGATGCCCAGTAGAAATACTGCATTAATACCGTGATATAAAACAGGTTACATGGGGTAAAATTTAAATAGCCATAGGAAGCATGAAACTATGATAACTCATTTAGAAACAGAAGCACAAGGCTGAGGCAGGAGGATCGCAAGTTTGAAGTCAGTCTGGGAAATTTAGTGAGACACTGTCTGAAAAAGAAAACAAAACAACAAACAAAACCAGCTGGGGATATAGCTCAGTCAAGCATCCCTGGGTTCAATCCCCAGGACTGAAGATAAATAAATAAAAAGAGAAACACAAATTAGATGATTGATGATCCCAGTGGATTAAACTTCATTTTGTACTGGTTTGGTATGGTGTTTGAACAGCTGAGAAAGCCTGGTCCAGGCAATCACTGGGGTCAGGAACTCATTCTGTACTAGATCCAGCTTTGGATTTTTACCACCTTAATGGCCATGTTTTCCCAGTTACCCATTAGCAAGAATTAGCCACAAAATTAGTATATTGTGCTTTTAAAGTTAAAAAGCAAAATGAAGTGCCATTTTTAAATTCTTGGGGGGTTTTATATATTGCAACTGAGGTTTTTGAAAATATTTCAGCCTTTAAGCCCTCCCCCTCCACACACACACACACACACACACACACACAAAAGCAATTCGGTGATTAGGTCTATTATATCCTTGATAGTAATGCCTTTCAAGTGTTAGTGTAGAACCAACTCGCACAAGATGTTCAAAATTTGTATTTTGTATTTCTTGTCTGCCCCCATCTCTGTGTTCTCTGAGACTGATTATCTAGTAGGGCCCAGGAACCTGCATATTAACACTACTCTAGACAATCTGTGAGCCAGCTTTCAAGAAAAAAAAATGCTTTAAATGTATCTTAGAGATCTAATCATTTTCAATTTTACTTTCTCCTATGCAAAGACAAATGCTATTTTGTTCAGAATAGTGTTGTTGGTGGGACCATACTGTAGGAGTTTTGTGGCCCTGGGCAAATTCCTTCCTCCTTAAACCTCAGTTCCCTCATTGTAAATAGAAAGGCTTTTTCTATCACTTACAGTCATTCTGCAATTTATCTGAGAAAACTGACAAATTACCTCCTGCACAGAGAAAGGGCTGCTTTTCTCTCTCTTCATACTCAATCTCTTGATTTGTTGTGTCTGTATCTTTACAAATATTTTGCTTATCATTAATGCATTTCTTGCTTATTACAGCTTTTGTTCACTTAGGTGCAAATGCTACTAAAGCCCCTCCTGAGCCTAGATGAAAACAATCTATTACCTAAACCCCCATACATTGAAAGTGCCTCTTAGAGCATTTGCTGTTTTCTACTGTATAAAATACTTAGAGTTGTATTTGCATATCCTACCTATTAGGTTCTCTGACTGTATTTCATTTTTGTTAACCACAAAATTTGTTTTGCTTTAAAAGTACCAACTGGTTTAAAGTATATAAGAAAGGGCATTATTTGTTAATTGTAGCAATAACTGTCATATCCACATGCAAGTATCTATTCAATCAATATTTATTTAATTAATATCTAGTATGTGTATCCTGGAGTCTGCTAGGTGCTGAATATGCTTTGTACTATGAAGGCAAAACATACAAATAATTGACTCTGTGTTAGGCTCTTTATTTTGTCATGTGGATATCCTTTTTGTATGGACAGGTAAATGCTTTGTTAAATCTAAATGTCCATCATGGGAATAAATGAATCAAAGGTACTCAAAATCATATGGACTATTATTTCATTAGAACCAATAGTCTGCATGCTATGTACTATAAAAAAGTACTCAGTTTTCTTTTTAACGCCTTGAATTTTTCTTTTGTTTGGTGGTGTGGGGGGAATACGTGTGTGTTATCCACATGAATAAACATGCACAAGCATTTGTGCCAAGTTTTAAACATCAAAGATAGAACAATGTAAAACTGAAATGATTTGCTTCTCTTCTGTTTGTTCTTATCATTTCAGATGATGGAAAATTATCCTTTGAAGAATTCAAAGCATATTTTGCAGATGGTGTTCTCAGTGGAGAAGAATTACATGAACTCTTCCATACCATTGATACACACAACACTAAGTAAGGAGTTTTCTAATCACTGGATTCTATAAATGAGGTAGAGAAATAGTTCTTCATGAAGGAATGAGGGAGAAAAGTACATTTTATGATGCTTACTTATGTTTAATTCCAAGATACCTTGTTTTTAAAATATGAAAATTTCTAAAAAACTCAGTGATCTTTAGAGAGCTCTCCCAGGTAGTTTTAGATCAGTTCCTTTTTGTAAAATATAAAACAAAGTAGACATGATAAGCAATTCTTATTCTATCATTAATAAGCAAAGAGAATTTTGTCTTATCACGTTGTCTTCATCTCAATTTTCTTTGTAAAAATTGTCCTCAGGCCATTTTTATATTAGTGTATTAAAATGGAAGAAATTGTAGCAGTCATCTGGTCAATTCAAGTCTGCTGAATTTAAAATCACTGTTACCTGATAGATTCAGGTAATGAAAGACACAGGATTATCTCTGCATAGTTGATACATACAGTAATCTGTACCTTGTATTTATTTTACCTATATAGATTTATTTTTGCATTAGCATAGCATTTATGAAAGTTGTATCTATAGTCTTGCTGTGCTTAAAAATATAAAATAATAAGAACTTAAGGATATAGAACAATAAAAAATGTGCTGCTTGTTTTGGGTAATTGAACCAAATCACATTATTTGTGACAGTCGAGATTATACAATTCTGATGTGAAAAAGCACCATTTCAGTCTTGCCTTGAGTGCCATCAGTGTGTCTACTGCTTGAATAATCACCATCTCGCTTTAGGCAGTGTTAAGGCGGTTCCAGGCAGTGAGCCAGTATGCTAGGAAAATGCTTTTGGGTTTTTGTCTATGAACAGACATTTTCTTGAGGCAAACTATTAAGAAAAATTAAAAGATACAATTCACTTTACTCAAGCAGCTGAATATTAGTAAAACAACCGGTTTGCAAGTTCTTGAATTCAGTGGGGTTTTCAGTTCACTTGGAAATGGCTTAAGTATTTTGTTGTCAGAAATAGTACTAATAGGTAACTGAATCAGAAGTTCCAGTCTGTTCAACACTCTAGCACATCAAACTTCTAGTAGGCATTGGTGATACAATATGGAGCCAGCTTATAGTTCAGTGGGGAAATAGACTCACTAACTGATCATTTCAATATAATATCTGTATTTGAGGTATGCATGGGATTACAAAGAACATAATGTTAGCCCAGTTTTGGGCTCAGGGAATATTCATTAGAGCTGAGTCATTGTGGAAGAGTAAAGATTGCTTAGGTTAAGAAGAGCAGGGAGAGTGGGACAGAAGAGGGAAAAAAACATAAAATGAGTAGGAGCAACACATATGCTCTTACTGCTAATGTGTCAACCATAAGGCTAAGAGTGAAAGGAGACAAATCTGGAGAGTAAAGAATGGGGTGATCAAGAAGAAATTTGCACTTTGAGATAAAAAAAAAAGTGCTTCAACTGTATCCTGTTGGCCAGGGGAAGCTATTGAAGAACTTGAGTTAGGGGGTGACATTGTTGAAGGCAATTATGGGTTCTACTGAAGGATAGGCTCAAAGGGGGAGAGATGGAGGAACACAAGATGATTTTAGTTGAATCCTTAAATTGCTACTGAGAGAGAATTTTCAGAATTCTCTGAAAAGGGAAGCCCTGCTGTATCATTCTGAGAAATAATACTTGAGAAAAAACAAAACAAAAACAGAGCAGAGGCTCCCTTTGAGGTTCAGTTACTGGAAGATGTGATGCTAATACTCCATCAAGGATGCTGATTATCTCTTCCTTGTCATATGTATTATGGAAATTTTAATTTGGGTTGGGAACATTGGGTTTGGAATATTTATTGAGAGTCATGGTTTCAGAGTTTGCTATCATGAAGATTTTTCAATACATATTTACTAATGTTAATGAAAATTAAAGCATTCAATAGATCTTGTTGGCCTGGTTTTGCTATTTCATTTACATATTTATTAGATTGGAACTTGGTATAGCTTTAGGATTACTAAGTGCTAAGAAAGCACATACAATGATTCATACCATAGTCTCAAGGAATAATAATTACTACTAGTTACTCCCATATGCATTAGTAACAATAGTGTGTGCTTTCTGATGTAAGGATGTTCAATTTAATTTGGAGCTTAAGTATATTAGTTGGAGACTTCTGAATTATATTCATGAAATTCCTTTTACAAAAAAAAAAGAGGGGGAGTGTCAGTGCCAGTGTTTGATCTTTTTAAAAAGATTAATTCAAACTTTGGCACAGAAATTTCAGAGCTTTATTTTAAGCAACTGATAACTTTTATCTTTGCATGATCTAAGTTTTAATTATTTTAGTGATTTAGTATATATATATAACAATTATTTTTCCCTTTCCCCTTTCCATACACCTAAGAAAGTATGAACTTATCAGATCTGGTGGTGCATGCCTCTAATCCTCAGGAGGATAACATAGGAGGACCACAGGTTTGAGGCCAACTTCAGCAACTTACGGATACTTTGTCTCAAAATGAAAAATAAAAAGGACTGGGCATGTCAGTTTAGTGGTAATGTGCTCCTAATTTCAATCCCCAGTACCAAAAACAAAAGAAAGAAAAAAGTATGCTCTCAAATCTAACCACTACTTAATATCCCTAGCCACTCTAATTTATCAGGAGCCCAGTCTGGCCTGAAAGAGCCAATAGGCCGGATGGAACCAACCAGATTCATTGTCTTACCTTGTTCCTTTGGACCCAGAGAGTCACAGTCCATGAACACCTGTCATAAAACCCCATGGCTGCCTGGTTCCTGCCCCTCTTGATGTCTAGTGATTTAACTTCACCTTGGAACCCATTAATATATTATCTGCTTTATACACTGTTTTCCTGAGCTTCTCCAAGGAAGATTCTGTCCCTTGCAAAAGTATGTTTTAAGACAGTACTACCTCAGCTCACTCCTGGCATCTGTGGAAATTCAAATCCCTTTGCTACAAACGCTATATTTGCTGTGTACAAAAAGTAACATATTCACTTTGAAAATATTTGGAAAGAAAAAAGGAAAATCTGCTATATAATTTTCCCCCTTTTGTCTCATGAAGAATATTCTTAAAATATTATTCTTGATTCTGAGAAGCAAATATTGTTCAAAAAGTGTAATTATAATCAGTATCTATAATGCAGTAAAATGAACATATTTTAAATATTAAAACTAGGTAAATTATTTCTTGTAAAAGTACATTTATAACAAAAAAACTACCAGGTAAGCCTTTCAAGAAGTCATTTCTTACAGGTAGCTTTTTCTTTCTTTCTTTTTTTTAGTACTAGGGATTGAACCTAGGAACTTTTTACCACTAAGGGACACCCCCCTGTAGGCCTTTTTTTTTTTTTTTAACATTTTTTACTTGTCAATGGACCTGTAGTTTATTTATTTATATGTGGTGCTGAGGATCAAACCCAGTGCCTCACACATGTTAGGCAAGTGCTCTACCACTGAGCCACAACCACAGCCCTCCTCCACCCCCTCCCCAGTCCTTTTATATTTTGAGACAGGGTGTTGTTAAATTGTTGATGCTGGCCTCTTACTTGCCTGCCCTGCCTCAGCCTCCTAAATTGCTGGGATTAAAGACTTGGGCCACCTTTCCTGGTTTAGCTTTTAAATGGATAAGCATAGGGTGATGTAGTGATTAAAAAAACATGTTTAAAAAACATATATATATATATATATATATACTGTCTTCACCATCACACACATGTGGATGACAGTCTTAATTTCCAAATGTAACTCTACTGTTTTTTCCCTTTCATTTTATTCATTCATTTCAGTTCTGGGTCCTTTCATCTGAAAATTGCTATTGTCATTAGAGAAATTATTTTAAGAAGACTTCATTGCATTTTTAATTTTCTATGCCCTGGAGCCACTTGTCTCGTTTCCAATACATCTCCTTTCATGAATAGAAGTAAACCAAAACCAACAGAAAAACAAACCTGAATGCATACAACCTCATAAAAACATATACATTTGAAACTATGCAACGATTTCTGCATGTGACTATTACCAAGGTTGAGATTATTTCTTGTTTGAATCAGAGGATGTTTTTAGTGTGTTTTAAAACCAAACTTCTGACCACCATCTGTGCAGGTTGAGAGTGTGCCCAGTGAGCTGTAGTCACCATCCAGCCTGCGCCAGCACAAACTTGTGGTCGGCACTTGGGATAATCTCACTCTAAAAAGAATTCCAGGAACCATCCTACTTGCTGGGTGCTTGTTTTGGTCAGCTTTTTTCCCTGCTGTGACTAAAAGAACTGACCAGAGCAATTGTAGAGGAAGAAGAGTTTATTTGGAGGCTTATGATTTCAGAGGTCTCAGTCCATAGATGGCCTGCTCCATTCCTCACGGCTCAAAGTGAGGCAGAACATGATGGTGGCTGAGTGTGGCAGAGGGAAGCAGCTCACATAAAGATCAGAAAGCAGAGAAAGACTTCACTCACCAGATATAAAATATATACCCCAAAACCATGCCCCCAATCTTCCACCTCCTCCAGACACACCCACCTGTCTTCAATTACCACTCAATTAGTCCCATCAGGTGATTAATTTACTGACTGGGTTAAGGGTCTCACAACCCAATCCTTTCCCCTATGAACCCTCTCACATTGTCTCACACATGAACTTTTGTGGGACACCTCATGTCCAAACCATAACAATGCTCCTAGTATAGTGAATATTTTCCCAGAAATTATATTCCTAATCTTTATAGTCTGAAGATTTTATTGAGAGCAGAGACCATAGAAGTGAAAAGAACCCCCAGGGAAAGGAGGAGAAATATGAAGGCATCAGAAGCTCAACTTTCCATAACTTTTTAAAATTATCATTTTAAATTGATAGGTCTTTTCCTTTCTATGTGGACATTTGGAATATTTCACTGAGATTTTTCTTACATAGAGTGAGTGTGGAACAAAGGACTAGTTTATTTCTGTAGAAGATACTTGGAGTATGTGATGTGGCAAAGAAAACCAAAGGTTACCTTATAAGTTTCTGTTAACAGGGAAAAAATTGTTGA